CGAAGCTTAACTGTCCAAAGAGGCTACGACTCCACATCAAGCAAGACCCTTGGAACCTCCCCAGCAGCGTCCGGAGTCTTGCCCAGAATATCAGAAAATTTGTTGAAGGTTAGTAAGAAAAACATGACCATAAATAAACACTTCATTAACGATAGAGAGCCTGGGGAAGGGGAAAAACACAACCACTTCATGTTGCTGCTACGCAAGGTTTGCTGAACACAGTGTAGTCTATGGGAAATGCCTGAATTTCAGGACTTTTTTGTGTTCTTAGTAACAAGGTTAGTGGAGTATATCTCAGCTGTCTCGTGCTTACCCTATTGGCTTCAGATACTGAAGAGAAAATAGTCTCTTCTGACAAGTGAAAAGAAATGAACCATATGTTGCATGTGCTATGTTATTTCAGTTGCTGCTGAAGTCCAGTGGGCTTGACTGATTTATCATAGAACTTCATGGGACTGATACACCAAAATGGGTCTTTCCTTGAAATTAAAATCCCTTTTTTCTACTGTCCTGAATGGAAAGATGAAGACTCTGCAGGACAACTTTTGTCCTATATCTTGCTCTTATCTGTCATTGATCTGGAATCATTATCCCTCTAAAATCATGCTCCCTCTTCTGCCTTAAAGCCAAACCTCTTCCGCTGGCTTTCACTTACGCACTCCATCACAACTGATCCTATCACTCCTCTTCCTCCACCTCCCTCCCACCACTATCTAAGAGTTACCTAGTACTCTGTTCCTCTTCACCACCAAGTGACAATGAGAGCTGGGGTTTTCTGCTCACTCCCCTGGCTTCATAAGAAAGTAACTGGGAATTCCTCTCCAGAAAATCTTGCCTGTAGGTTCTCCTTTTATTTCCTGTGCTGTTTGATAAAGAAACAGAAATAATGAGCAAAATGATTTTTATAAAACTACTTGCACTAGGAGTCTACGTGGGAACAAAAACTTGTATCAGGTCTGGCTTTAAATGATTTGTGTGTGTGTTTAGCTTCTTTTGTTTTGTTGGCTAATTTCCATGGTGTCCCATAAAGAAACAGATAAATTTCAGATCACTGGAAAAGAACTTTGTGATAAGTTTTATTAAGATAAACCTCCAAAAACCAACTGGCCAAACCAAACAAACTCCTCCTCCTCTGACTTTCGGTATTTCTCATTTCAGATACAATCATATTTTCAGATCCTGGGTTAGAAAATTCTAAAAACAACCACAAAAATATCTCCTATTTTTGGAGTCAATCACAGTGGGTTAACTCTCCAATACTAAGAATACTTCTTTTAGTTTAATGGTGGCTGTCACTGAGTGAAAAATGAATAAATATTTTTGGATCCTTTTTTCTACAGGTCTATCTTCAGCCTAAACCAAATTATATTCAAGTATTAATCATGGTTTCTTTCACAGTTCAGAAGGACTGGAAATGTGTCTTTTAACAGAACTTCATTGCCCCCCTTCTGAAGCCAAGCCTAACAGACCATTTTCACATAACTTGTTTGCTCATAAATAGAATTAATAGACTTAACCCATTTCAACATTCGTCATATACCCTCAATATTGAGCTGAGGTTATTCAGATAAATTTGGTTTTAAATCTACTACAAAATTTTGTGGGAGAGTTCAGCAAGGTCCAAATGAATTACCGTCTCTCTAAAATACAAAACTTCTTGTAATGGTGATATTTATCAGAAGGAATCTTGACGTTTACAGAACAATATAACTGTTGGCATTTTCTAGTGTTTTAGAAATTAGGATTAAAAAAAGTTTTCTCTGTTAATAAATTATATAACTAACTTTATTGCAAACTGTCATGCTTGTGAACGGTGCATGGTTCAGAGAGCTAAACAGTAAAACATGTTATTCTTGTGCTGTTCAAGGAGAGCACACACTCTGCCTTACCTTCTCTCGTCACTGTGTCTCAGAAGTTGTTTGCCAATTTTAAATATTCCTGGTTCTCCCTTTCCATCCATGGCATCTGAGCTTTTGTCAGATGTGAGCTTTCGTGAGATTTCCAACAACTGCCTTCTGTGCCATCTTCTTAACCAAATACATGGGTTTACATGTAAAATTATCATCTTAGGTTGTTTATTTATAGTCAGTCTTTACATCTTTCTATTCTCTTATAGTTTTTTTTCTTGCATTTGATTCCTGTTCCACCCCCCCACCCCCCCCAAACTGGTATCGCTAATACTTGTTCCTGAGAAGTACTCTGGAGAATCATGATCCACATCTTCGTCATAATTTTGATTTGCACGTGGGACCAAGGAGTTGGTGTGATGTAATGGATACCTGAAAGCCTAGGTTCTTGTGGCTTCCCTGGCACAAATAGCATGAAGGAGAAATAGGAGAATGGAAGTGTATAATTGCTTCTCAAACCTTAGTTTCCAAGGCATGTCTGGACAGGTATGTGTAATTCATTCTTGAAAAGATTCAGGGCAGAAATGTGCCCCTCAGGCAGTTTTGGGAGACTGCTGTGATTGAGACAGGCTTAGGCCTGTATAAATTAAACTTGAAACACAACCAGCAGCTGGATCTAACTGAAATCAGGTGAGCGCAATGCAGGGTTAAAAATGCTTTAGCAGCTAAATTTTCCCTTCATATCTTCTTGTTTTCTCCTTTCCAATCTTGCCATTATGCATTGTGTTCACAAATGGTCAGGATACCTAGAAGAACCACTAGTACTACCCTGAGCTATTTCTGGCTGAAAACCTAACTCACGGTACAGAGATTTACCTCCCCGTTCTCCCTCTTATTCGCCTGATTCACAAAAAAAAAAAGATGTCCCCTAATTTGACTGCTAAGTTGGGCTTATGAGAACAAGTTGAACAAAGTCTTGGGATTTTAGTAGAATCTTCATGTTTTTTTATAAGTAAAAGGCAGTATTTTAATAATTGAGGAAAGCAGATATATTTGTCTCTTCTAGCAGGTTCAAGAGGAAGTAGTCAAAGGAGACCACAGATACAACTTTGTTCACCATAGGGAAAAAAATTGTTGTAACTAAAACCTCCAATTGTCATAAACACACTTAACCATTATTGATGAATGCTAATGTAGGGATGAATGCTTTCAGTAAATGCATCTCCTTATTGAAAACTGACTCATTTTTATTTTCATAAAAATATCACAGGCTATTGTAATTTTTTACTCATTGTTCTGTTACATTGTAGAATGTGTTGTATTAAATTAGACTGATTAGTGCTTTAAAGCAGAAGGAGACATGGGAGCCCCACAAAAATTAGATGTTTTAAGTCCTAGATCTTAGGATTATTATTATTTACTTTGTTTAATAAGTATGAAGAAGTGGGAAAACTCAGAATGCCTTGAGGATGATTGTTCTGGTCTGTCGGTTTTCTTTTTATTAGTATTGGAATTGGAAGAACAATTTTTTTAAAAATTCTATGAACGTTTGCACAGATTGAAAAAAAAAAAAAAACAGAAAACACCAACCAAACCTTCCTTGACAGTAAATTTAAAACATACGTGGAGATTGCTTTGTCTCATTTCATTTGTCCTACCATGTTGTTAGAGAAAGAGTAGTTTTCTATGGTTACAGTAAAAGGCAGCCCTAGAAGGCTAATCAAGTTGATAGAATTGAAAAGTTCTCCGAAATAGTGTACAGATTCTAGGAGGATTTATCTGGAGCTAAGTAACTAGAGAAAAGATGAAAGTTATTTCTTGGAGTATCTGGGCCTACTAAATTGTTAAACCAATAAAGACAAAGGTAAGTTGTTGGTGCAGGCAGATGTTTGAAGATGGAGTGCTAGATTTTGGTGCAGAAGAGAGCGGTAGTCAGGGCAGGAATTCAACGGTCATTAAATAGAGAAAGAATAATATATGTACAAGATTCTGGATGTATGTGAGACTTGTAAGAATCAGAAAGCACAAGAGGGAAAGCTGAGGGATGACTCGAGTAGGAACCAGGAAAATCAACAAGATGGATGGAAAGAAAGGGACCCTTCAGAAGGAAAGTAAAACCAAAACTGGCCAGCGTAACAACAGAAAGGTGTAAAGAGAGCAAAGAGGAGGAGAAATTTCTGTAGTTGCTTTTTCCCAAAGAAAAAAAGGTAAGATTTTTGGTCAAAAGAAGAGATGTTTTAGAGCAAGTCAGATTTCTAGTCAGCTAGTCACATAACTGCATGAGAAAGTGCAGTTGTTTTGCTAGCACAATAGTTTTAAGTTTAAACAGGAAATACTATGCAATTGAGAAAGTTCATATCTATTTTAATTTAAATTAGGAGTGAGGAGTGAAGGAGACTTTCAGTCATTTAAGATATAAAAAATGTATTTCAACTTAGATCATAAAACATGCAGTGCAAATCTCAGTCTTATTTCAAAAATATTTTGAGATGTGAGAAGCAAAATAAAACTAAAATCTAGCCTTTACTGGCAAAGATCAGAATAGCAGAATAGCATGATAAAAAAAAAAAAGTACGAAAGAATGTTTAAGAATAAAAGAAGTTGAAGGCATCTTGCATTACAAATCATATAATCTAAAGAGAAATTGCTAGGGAGTTATTCCTTTCCATACGCCATGTAGCAAGAAGGGGTGAAAACTTCCATAGCATTTGGAATTCGTTGAAAAGCAAATGGTTGACATCCACGGTTCGCTTCTAACCCCAGGGAAGTGTCTACTTCTACAAATAATCTAGTCTCTTGCCTGTGGGTATATTTTGAAATGGAGAAGACTTATAGCAATGATAAAGGAGAGTTGCAGTGTCCTGTAATTTTCCCATAAGCAGGAAATCATTATTTATAAATACCTCAAATGCTTTTGAATTCAGAGATCCAGCAAATCTCATTTAAAACAAGCTGCAATAGCCTCAATGTATGTAAATTCTTCAGACAAAAGCTCTATTTCCCTATATTGTATTTTCAGTTACTAAGCTGTGTTCAGACTCCAAGATGCCAAGTTATTAATCTCTGTAAGTTTTTTTTCAAAAGACAGAAGGCCAAGGCAAAGACCTATCGCCAGGCAATTTTCAAGAATAACCAGTAATTTTGAGTGTTTTGATGCTTGTATTTGAGATACCGTGGGCATGCATTTCAGAAGTGTAGGCACTGCCAGTTCTTTTCACAATGTGTGTACAGCATGGATGAAGATCAGGCTTGAAAGGTTTTCTTCTTTTTTAAGCATAGTCACCTTTGGGGAAGATTCTGGCTTTTCATAGGTATATTCAAATCCACACAGAATCCAGACTGTGCTGTTGATACAGTCAACTCCAATGTCAGTTCCGTCATCTGAGTTGTATTCAAATTTCAAAGGATTCAAATTTCAAACCTATTAGGTTAGTTTTAGGAGGGGGCAACAATTTGTCCTATTGTCCATATACCCCCTAGCAGCTCTGCTGGTCCACTGACCAGGGCTTGGAATAGGACTGCACAGAAAATTGGGCGTGTGAAAGAAAGTTTGGAAAGATGCGAAAGCATGTGAAGTAGCAGTGTGTTCCTAGAGGCAGTTACTGTAGGACAACTGATGTGCTGGAAGTCTGACACTCTCTAAGGTTATGGCAGCTTTTTAATCTGCCTGTTACTTGCAGTGGTGGTTAACACATTTAAATTTGTGCTCTGGTACATGATAGAGGGGAAGAATCACTTCCTTCAGCCTGCAAACTTTGAGAAGTCCCCCCCGTCCAAAAATTAAAAAAAAAAGAAAAAAGAAAAAACAGTGTAAAGAGATATAAAACCAAATTTTTGTCAGTGTAAATTAAGAATTCTTTTTTAATCTGTACTTTTTTACATCACAAATTGTTAAGTGAAAAGAAATGTCTGAAGCAAAATAAAATCCTGAAGGCTGAGAATAAAGTGAAAATAATGTTGTATATTTCCTGGATGCTTTGGTATACATTAAAATGAGAATAATTTAAGATTTTTTTAAGTATGGAACAAAAGAGGGAGAAGAAAAAAGAAAGAATTGGGGTAGTGTGGGAATCAGTGAAAATTGGTCTTGTTTTTCAAAGTTCTAAGACTGGAATTCTTCGTATGTGGACTTGCACTGGCCAGCTGGTACACGCATACTCTGAGATAGCAGCTGCCTCTTCATGTGTCTTTCTCAGTGTTGGTGCTTTTGATTATTACCAATTTTATGAAGTCATATGTAAAATTAAGTGAAGCTGAGACTCATTACTGTTTTGTAGGTATAAATCAGGGTTGCCTACACAAGAAGTTGGAATTAAGCTGGTATAAAATGAGAAACTGCAAATGCATTATTATGTTGGTGAAAACACTTTTAACCATGACCTCAATATATTTTCTTTTTTCTTTAAGAGGTGAAGGCACGAATACTCTTGGCACTTCTTGAGTATACAGGTAATTTTGCTTGTTTTGGGGGTGGGGGAAGCGAACGTGGATGGTTTGAGATTTTTTTTTGCTTTTGGACAGAATACTGTGTTTAGAGAAAGGGGAAAAATCTCAGATAGGATAACCTGATAATCAACAACTTTACCCCTGTGTTTACAGTGAGGATTCCTGAAGAAAACAACAATTCTAAAGACATTTCTAACAAACCTTGCACATTCTTTTTTTTTTAATGCAAAATAACTTCTCTGGCCATTTACTTTGGATCTTGGCAGATGAAGTAACTACTAAATCACTGAGCTTGTGCACAGTACTTCTGCTGTCTTTCTTCTTTCGGGCTTTTTCCTATTTGCTATCTTTTTTCTTTTCTCTTCATTCCGATTTATCTTACTTATCTTACTATTCTAACCCATACCTTTCCTTTCATCTTTTTTTAGAGAATATCTTTTTTTAAGTCCGTCCTTTTTGGAAGGGGTCTGATTATTCTGTGTATTATTCTACCATCACCCTATACAGCATACATCTTCAAATACACAAAATAGGCACGTGTGTCTACAAAATAAATGTCAGTAGTTCAGTATTTAGAAAATAATGCTTATGGCAGAAGATTCTCTGCAGTTTGTACATGCATAAGTGTTCAAGTAAGCAGTCAGATTTGACTGGAAAAGCTGATTATTTTAACCATATTGCAGCACTATGTGAATGCATTATTATTTCATGATTTTGTTATGACACATAACAGCAGTTTTATAAAGGGGAATATAACATTTCTTTGTTGTCAGATTTCTTTCAAATATTATAAAAGTTTTTAGTAATTCCTCAAGTGTTTTAAAATAAGAAGTGACCTGAGGAAATACTCCAGATTTGATTTTTTTAAAGCAGTTTTCCCTATTTACATTGTTTGATAAGTTTTTGAATTCTGTGGTTTATTTTCTATAAAAATCTTATTGTAAAAAGAGTGCAAAGTGCTTTTCTATGCAGTATCTGATGTTCAAGTAGTATTAAATGAGATTTGGAACTGAGGTGTTGGAGACACCAGAGGGCTGCTTTAGAAGCAGGCAATACAGAGGAAGGCACTGAGTGTCAGCTGCTGTTAGACAAACAGAGATAAAATTGAGCAAAACGAGAAGAGAAAATGTGTGTTGGGCTTAAATCCCTGAGCGCTGCTGTGACATTGGAAAGTTTTTGACCATGGGGAAGCCAGTGGGATTTTTGAAGCTGGAGATGGGTGCAGTTTTTAAAGATGAAAATTATGTCTGTACTGGGTTCTGCACAACTTGAGACAGTGGGGGGAGGGAGAGAGAGAGAGAGATATTAATTTTAATAATCAAAACAAAAAGCAATGAGTCACAGTGCAAAAGCAGCAGTGATTAGACCATTTATGGAAAACATTCCTGAGGTCCTGAGAGGCCGGCAAATGGAATCAAAATGTTAGTAGAAGAGTGGTCACTATTATCAATAGTCGAGGAGAAGATTGAAGAAGATCTCAGGAGGAAAACAGACAGAATGGAGTTACTTTGAAAAATACTCGGAGTCCGAGAAAAGCATATTTTTAAAGTCAGTATTAATTTTGGGAGTACAGAATTATTTCTGCTGTCTTATCCAGTCATCTAAAGTCTTTTCAGCTCCATAGAGAAGGTGGAAAAGGAGCTGAGCCTCGTAGAGGCAGGGGAATCTAAAAGTGAGAACAAAGATTTTAGGCTTTGGAAAGACCTTGATATCACCTAATCTTCTTCTCTTGCTCTGAGAAAGATTAAGTCTACCTGTACCATTCGTAATTGATGTTTGCCTAACAGCTCATAATGATAAAAATACTTGAAGACCTTCAGGAAAGCAAAGAAGAAGGAAGCACTGAATATTTATCACCACAATTTTGTGCTTTATTGAGAACATGTTTCCCTTTCTAACTCTTTTGACCTTTAGCTAATCTAATGCCTGTGCCCTCCAGAATAAATTGGTAGTCCCTATTTTAAATCAGCTGCTAATGGTTCCATAGACTTCTACCTAGGGACCTGTCCTGGACTTTCCTGACACCATAAATCTCTGCTGCTTAATGGATATGTGATGCTACTGTGTGCTTATTTTACAGATTTCATATTCATATATATATAGTATTTGGATAGGTTGTGCTCTGGTAGCAACACTCCTGTATGCCTTGTATGCAACTTACAGCAGGCAGTCTTCATCTGCCCTACCCAGCTGGTAGCTGTGGAGTTGACCAGATGATGCAGTCATATTAAGCGCTTCTGACTATCCTTGCTTTCCTGTGGAAAGTAAAGGTTTTTGTGCCCACATCTGGTTCTCACATTGCAGCAAAGAGATCTGACTCACATCCATGACCTTGTAACATCAGAAGTACATAGAATTGATGGCATGTACATTAAAATCTACAAGATAAACATACATGGTTTATGAAGAACTATTTTAAATTCCAGATTTTAAATACATTTCTATATAATTTTAGAATTATAAAATAATCTTTTAATGTGGAAAATGGCAGTTTTGGTCATGGAGTGCTATTTACTGGGAATAACATTAGGCTGTAAACTTTAAAATTTACCTTAAAATGACTTGGTTTTTAGACAAAGAAAAAAATTGCAGCCCAGTTCCTTTGCTGTTAATTAATCTCCTGCTCCATTTTTGCTTTTCCTCTTTTGGCTTTTACCCATCACAGATAGCGAGATACAACTGAGGCGAGACATGGTCTTCTGTCAGAGCCTAGTGGCCACAGTCTGCGCTTTTTCAGAGCAACTAATGGTGGCCTTAAATCACATGTTTGACAACAACAAAGAATATGAAATGGAGACGCTGGAGGCCAGCAGAAGGTGGTTGGAACAGATAGCCACTGCGGGTCTTCTCCTTCATTTCCAGTCCCTGCTCTCACCTAACCTGGTAAGACTCCTCATGTGGCATGCTTGGTCACAGCCTGTGTTTGTTCCCTGAACCAGGGGCACGGTTAAACAGTCTTAGTTATAAATGTAATTTTCTGGGTCCTTTGTGCTTAGCTTGTTACTTAATTAGCTGCTATTTGGAAAATTTGCGATTTAGATAATTACAGATATGGGAAGTGTTTGTAGTGTGGGAAATATGTTTTCCACAAAGATGGTATTATGTTTGAGTTAGCAGATAGTGAGTTTGCCCTTGACTCCCCACTGCTATCGTAGCTGTTCCCTAGGAGTGAATGTAGTATTAGGTGATAACCAGAACTTCAGTTTGCAATAAGCAGCAATGCAAGGTGAATAAAATACCCGATTTGGATATTTTATCAACCCAAAACCCAATAGGGCTGTAGTAGTTGAAGGACTAGACATGCTAGTCTGTTTTGCTCCTGTCGTAGGGCAAATCCTTGTAGCCTGTCAGGGTAAATGGAAATCTGCTGTTTCTTCACAAGGCTTGGCAAAGAGCCATGGCTTAAGAAACAATTAAAAAAGGGACGTGGCTTTGTAGTCCTCTAATCCCCAGTTATCCAAAGTGCTTCTTCAGCTATTTAAGCTGCTTCTCACACTAGACTGCTAACCTGAAGAACTGTGAAGCAGTCTCCACAGTCTGCTCTGTGGCAGTCTTCTCAACCTCTGGAGTTGCTCACTGAAAATAACTGATTTGGTACATCCTACTGTGTAAAAGTCCACGCAAATAACAGACGATGTTCCTAGTATCAAAGGTCTTCTTTCCTTGCCTTGTCTATCTCAGCAGCGGTTGACCTGATAAACTTTAGAAGCAGAAGAGATCAATAAAAATAAAGGTGTTTCTAAATCATGATCATAAAGCATTAGTCTATGGTATTGTTGGAAAGCATTGACTTGAGCTAGTGTTGAGCAACTACCTCACAGGTAGTTGAGGTACCTACGTGGGCTTGCATGGGACACGGTATGTCAGGACGAGGTGTGCGGCTTAAAAACAGATAAAGTCAGTGCCTGAGAGAAACAGTGGGCTCTTTATCCACATGAGGAGTATGTGAAGAAAGCACGGTCAGGGGAGCTTGGGCTCATGTCTTGAGTCTGGGATGCTTTTTAGCACCATGCAGCACCAACACGTCCTGGTGCTGGAGTCCTCAGAGTTCGAGTAAATTCAATTGGTGCCTGTCTTATGTTTTCCCATGTGCTTAGTTGTCATGTTATCACAAAATAACTGTTGTCTTTACAGCACTGAATACTTCTGTTTTTTCTTTCAAGATTGTAGAGATTTCCTTTGTAGTGAAAATACATGCTACTTAGCTATTTTCATGTAATCAGATACCAGCAGTATGCATTGTCAAATTGAAAATAAAATTAAATTTAGTCTCTTCTGTCTAACTGTTCTTAACCGAGGGAAAAGTATTTAAAGGCAACTTTTTCAATACCTTCTCAGCACTATTTTGCTTACAAATGATCCGTGTTATTTTAAACAAGGGTGTTTGAAGGAAATTACACTCATTATGGCCAGAGTTCAGTAAAGAATGAGCAGTTGTGCAAAGATTTCCCATGTCACTGAATGGTTTTCAGACTATTCTGCTGATAAAACTGCTCTGTCCATAGAAACTTCATAAATTGAACCAGGAGACAAAATATTTCTAGCAGCTTTGCTTTTTCGTAAATACAAGGGGGAATGCTGTTTCACTATATAGATCAGGGAAAATCATGGGGTGGTTTTTTTTCCTTTCTATAATTCAGTAAGATATAGTTTTTTCTCATTTTATAGGCAGCTAGTTTATTATTCTCTGCCTTCCTACTGTTTCAGTTCTTAGAGGAGGAAAAATGCCATGCCTCAGATTTCCATTTGGCTCTTGCTAACTTAAGGTGCTAGGGGAGGGTTGTATAAAGAATAGAATTACTTTAAGTGATTATTGATTTCTGCTATAATTGCTCTGCATATTTAACTCAAGATAACCATACTTGTAGATGACTCTTTTCCTTTTTAAAGGTTCAGTAAAGTGTCCTGAGAAGTTAGTAATTTACTTCCTGAAGCTTTTTTCGTAAATTAGTCTGGATCACGTTAGCTATCTTTTTAGCTCAGGAGTACACAGAGTGAACCATAGCTCAAATCAGAATATTGGCATATCTACATACTTGATTTGCATCTAGAGTTTTGTAGGTGAAGGTGCAAATCACCCTGAGCTATACTTGTTCTGATCTATTGGTTCAATTATTGGTGCTTAGAGTGGACACGATGAACTCTCATCTGTTGTTTATACATGAAATGCTGAAGTTATGGCATTTTTTAAAGAAAATTGCTAAAAAGAAGAATTTGTTTTTCACATTTCCCTTCTGTTAATTTCCAAACTAGACTTGGTGTCAAGACAAGCTGTTGAAGTCTGGTAACTTACGTAAAAATAATTACAGTAGTGTTTGATTAAAAGCCATGAGAAGTAATGGTAGCTATAAACTACCTATTAATTTACTATGTGAAACGATAACTTTAATTTTAATAATCTTGGACTAGTAATAAAAAAAAAAATAGAAACAAAGATATTTACATTTTCTAGGAGTTAATTAGGTTATACACTGCACCAGTGAAATGTTGTGCAACATTCTGTAGTTACTTTTATGTCCTGCTCTCATATTATTTCTGGTAGGGAAAACATCTGGCTGAAATGACCATTTCACTTTTTCTTTTTGCCTTTTTTAGGCTGATGAGCAAGCTATGCTAGAAGATACATTGGTTGCCCTGTTTGACTTGGAAAAAGTTACTTTTTACTTCAGACAATCAGAGCCAGAACCACTAGTTGCGAGTGAGTAATTAGAATTTATATCAGGGCTTTACTTTTCAGAAACATTTTCTGTATTTGTAACATTTTTCTCTCCTAGAACATTACCTCCCACAGGGAATATTATATAGTTTGGGATTATGGAGAACTAGTAGATCTGTAGCTCTCCTAATATTCCTAGATTTCCTGAAATACAGCTAACATCAGTGACAGTGCAGAATCATTATCTGGCAATGTCAGTAACCTTGGGGGCAAAACTGTTTGCTTAATTGAGTTTTCCATTGGGAGTATGTGACTGCCTCAGGAAAGTCCCTGAAAGATCTAGCTGTTATTGAAGAGTCATGTGTAAAATAAGCTTGAAGGTCTTAATAGAGAAATGCAGCTGAGATCAGATGGAGAAACATAAAACCCATTTCATTTTATCATCTAAAAGACAAAGTAGATCTTGGAAGAATTCCTTGAAAGGAGACGGCAAACACTGTTAGGATAGCTTTAAATTGTGCAAGAAGCTTCCCCTGAGACCTGCTGGTGCAGACGATCAGGGTCCTGAACTCTTCTTCCCAATACTCGCCCAACTCGCAGGAAGGGACTGTCTTCGCAGTCTGCTGTTTATACCCTTCCCTCATTTTCAGCCACTCCTTTATTAATATGTTTTCAGCCAGTAGAGATTTTCCTGCAGTGAACTTTGTTTAGTGAGCAAAAAGCCCTCATTTTTTCCGAAGTCTCATAACTCCCTTGGGAAGGGAGGAAAGCATGTCTGCTTCACATCAGGCTTTTCTAGAACAATTCCCTTGCTGGACTGAGACCACACGTGAGACAACTTCTGCAGTAACCAAAACCAGAAGACACAAAGCTCCTCCACAAAGCTGCCCGTGCTCCGAAGAATTCAGTAGCACAGGGCTGGTAGTCTGGTAGGAATTAGCCTATGTAAGACCATATTTATTTCCATATAATTCAAGTAAGAACCCTGTTTAGAGTGTTTGTTTTAAAAAGAAGCCCTGCCAAGCCAGGTAACAACATGGAACCGGAGTTACAGGAGGGCCTCCTGATGGGGAGTTAACCCTATGCCTGTGTCATGAACTGTTCATATTGCTGTATCTTCCAACTGAGGTGTCTGTGCTAAAACAGAGATAAGTGGAAAGTCCATGTGTTCTAGGATTATAATAAACTCTGTATTTCCTTTTGGTTTAACTGCTGCCACCACAGTCATCCTGACTGTAGTTACAGAAGACAAGGAACTGGCAAATTTGTTTTTTCCATTTATGATTCTGCATAATCAATAAAAGAAAAAAAGTCGATTTCTTATTACCAAAAATAGTGAAAAATGTTCCTTCGGAATCTTTTCCATTTAGGTACAAAATAATTTATGCACAGAGTGTAAAAACTACATAATAATATTATTATTGATGCAAATCACTAAATTTTATTGTTACTGCTTTCAACTTGGAGACTTATGTATGGAAATGATACTTAAACAGGAAATACATACAAAGCTTAAATTGAATTAAACTAACTTCCTCTGAAAGATTTAGCTAAATGGAAAATTTTCGTCAACTTTTGCTAATGGTCGTTACGTATTAATCATCTGGCATAATACACACAACGTATGTTGGGGAATTGCTGTATCTGCAAAATGATACTGCCAGTTGCCCTGAACTCTACACCAATTGATGTATTATGACATTTAGCTTGTCAAAGTCTAATGAAATGTGCTCTTACACTTTTATATATTCTACCATATTACATTTGTTTTCTCAGTTGAGTCCTGATTTTTAATAATAATTTAATGAATATGCTGGTAGCTACTGTATGTTTACTTGTGTTCTATCCCACACAAATCTCAGGAGAATCTGACTCTATATATCACAGTGACCTTATACATTGTGCACCTGAGGAAGGCACGTAAAATATGGCTAACGGTATCCTTCCAGTGATTTCAAACTATGTACTGTATGTAGATGTTCAGGTTTACAGGGAATACAAGTAGGATGTTGCCAACTACATTATTTGCTTAGTATTTTTGCTGTCATTGACAGGCTGGCAAAGATGACAGTCACTGCTTTTCTGTTTATCTGCTTCCTGATAATGGATAGGCCAAAAGTGACCACAGCAACACCGATATAATGTAAAATACTGCACGTATTAGTTTTGTGTCTGCAGTGATTTTTATCTAACCGTGTGAATTTTGGGTGCAACAGCTTGTGGAAAAGGACGTGCCATTTCTTTTAATGAAATAGTAACACTGACTGTATTCTTAGATGTACCAATCACATACCAAGCAGAAGGAAGCCGGCAAACTCTGAAGGTTTACTTCTACCTTGACAGTTACCATTTTGAACAGCTTCCTCAAAGGCTGAAGAATGGAGGGGGATTTAAAATCCACCCAGTACTTTTTTCACAAGGTAACTTGAGTTTTAATTCCCTCACCCCCCCCAGTTCTTTCACATAATTTTTAACTCTCTTTAAAACCCTACCTATTCACTCTGATTTAAATCCTTTGTAACTATGAGGGCACAATGCTTATATTTAATATGTTGTTTAATGTGGGCATTTATTGAGAACTTTGAATTAAAATGTGAATTTAAGAAATGCTGAGATTTGTGATAAAAAAATAGAGTCATGGGTATACATTTCTAAGTTTATACCTGTTACATGATTCAGGCACCGAAGAATGAATCCTCTTTCATCAATATTGTTTTGTTCTTTGTAGACATTAGCGGACAATAGTCAGGCCATGAAGCTTGCTTTTAAAAGTGTTTTGCATTCCAAATGCTATCGTAATCTTTTCCTATTACTTCAAATTTAAGGACTAAATTGTTATCCCCTGAGAATTCTGTCTCTTTAAAACGTTATGAAGACTTAAATAACATTTTCAGTCTTTTGTGGCTATGACACTGCAAATGTTACCGAAGTGATGAATGGTGGCGCTGATGCTCAGACTGTTCATAAATTGCAGGCAGCCTGCATTAGCTGCAGTGTCATTACAGTCATCAGGAACGTGGAGTTTGATTCACTGAAATGGTGAATGTGAGGTGCTGATTGCCTTGAGCCGCCTTTGATTTCAGAGGGAGCTGAAAGTACTCCATACCTTGCGAAAGGCTTCCAGGCTTTATGTGGAATAGGCAGAAGTCAGGCATACAAATGAAGGTTTCGAGGGGGGTTTGGTTTCTGTTAGATAAGGAGGATGTAAAAGGAAATAGCAAACAGTAAGATACATGAAGAAATAGCTGAACTTACTGTAAACTTAAACCACACAATTTTTAAAAAATAAGATCCCTGAAGTCTGATTTTTAAACAAACTAATAAAGATAGTCATCAGTGGATTTCTTTTGAACAGATTGGTTTCAGTCATAGGGGAAAATGAGAACACTGAGCAGAAGGCATATTTCAGTAGAGCAGACAAAAAGGCACATGAAAGAGAACAGAAAATACCTTGGTTCAGATGAAATCCTGGAAATACTAATTTTTTTTTTAGATTTGGGAGGGGATTCAGTGTGCTACTGAACTTCTTTTGCAGAATTTTTTGCCTTTCTGTTTCCAGAAGCCTAAAATATTTGAGTCTTATGATAAGCATCTTTGTAGTCAGCTAAAGGAAAAGGGCAAAGATTTGTTCAAGCGTTAAATCTGCTTAATAATTTTCAGTAATACAGAAGATTTCTTCTTTCTTTACCATACCAAATTTCTTTAATTTTCAAGGATCCCCCTCCAAAATAGTCCATTAGACTCCAGGAATAAGAAGTCCTGGATAAGAAGTTAAATCCTAGCGTTTAAAACATTATTTTGGGGTTTTTTCCCTTATTAATGAGTGCATTGGGATTCTTTTTTCTACTTCTTTTGTATGAGGTTTGGCTCAGCTACCATCAAACTAACTCAGTAGATCCCCATCTTTAACTGAAATTTATTAGCTACAAATGTAGAAATCTTCTGTAAATTCCTCTGTGAAGTGAATTCTTGCTTCCCAAGCTTAACAGAGCTAAGCTGTTTCCTGCCTAAAATATGGTTTATGATGTTTTCAAATGGAACATTTAGAAAATCACATTTTTGGAATACTTTATCAAAGGCACAAGTCAGTGCACATCAGTCTATTTATCTCTGTGTTGCTCTATTCTGTGTTTCGTAGCTCCATGCCTAAAATTACAAGTCTATATATTTGCAGGATTGGGACTGTAGACATTTAAAAAAGTTTTTAAATGTTTACCCAGGCTATATTATGTATCCCTCCACTTGTAAAAACAGTTTTGTGCAACCACATACATTCAAAAGGATCCTGATTTGCAGGATTGGGGTCTGAGAATGTTGAGATATTGCTCTTGGCATTCAGATTTCTCTATTTCCTACGTTAGAATTGAGATCTCAGCAATAAATAAACTTAATTAAAAGACACTTTATTTAAAATTAAGTTTATTTAAAATTGCTACTTAGTCTCTTAATTATGTAGGGTTTTAAAAATTTTTTTGTTTTTCATAGAATCCTAGAATAATTCAGATTGGAAGGGACCTCAGTAGGTCTCTGGTCCAATCTCTGCTCATAGCAGCGTTAGCTGTGACATCAGACCGGGTTGCTTTATCAAGTAGGATCTTGAAAACACCCAAGGACAGAAACTGCACAACCTCTTGGGTAACCTATTCCTCTACTTGACTGCCCTAATGGTGAAAAAATGTTTCTTTCTATCCAGTTGAAGCATCTCTTGTTTCAATTTATGTCCATTGCCTCTTGTTCTGCCAGCATGCACCATTGTGAAGAGCCTGGCTCTGTCTTCTTGTTGACCTCCTGCTAGCTAATGGCACCTGCCTAGTAGGTTCCCACCAAGCCATCACTTGTACAGGCTGAACAAGCTCAATGTCCCTCAGCCTCTCCTCACAGAGCGTGTGCTCCACACCGTGACCATCTTGGTGGCCCTCTACTCAACTCTTTCCAGTTGATCAACAGCTTTTGTGTACTGTGGGGCCCAAAACTAGACACAGTATTCAAGATGCTATCTAATGAGTGTTGAGTAAAGTGAGGACAAGCACTTTGTTCAGTCTACTGGCCATGCTTATGTTAGTACAGTTTAGGATGCTCTTGGCCTTCTTGGTTGCCAGAGAACACTGCAGGCTCCTGTTCAGCTTGCTGTCTAACATGACCCCGAGGTCCTTCTCAGCAGAGCTGCTCTTTAGGCTTTACCTTCCCAGGTGCAGGACTTGACATTTGTCCTTGTTCAGTTTCACAAGGTTCCTGCTGGCCCATTCCTCAGGGCTGTCTAGGTCCCTCCCTAGGTGGCCCTGCACTTGAGTATATCCACTGCTTCTCCCAATTTGCTATTATCTGCAAACTTGACTTAGCTGCTCCAAGTCAGCGATAAAGATGTTTAACAATATACATCCCTGTGGTATTCTGCTTGTAATGGGCCCCTAGGTAGACCATGTCCCATTAGCTGCTACCCTTTGAGCCTACCCATCCTTCCAGGTTTTTTTACCAGTCAGTTGTCTATGCATTCAGACCATAATATCCTAACTTGGATTCAAGAATACCATAGAAGACATGTTTATAAGGAAAGCTTCCTTACAAAAGAGCTTTCTAATATATTAGGTAGAAAAATGTTAAACCCTTCAAAAAGGGGAGAGCCAAAGTACACGCTGTGGGATTCCCTGCCAGCACCCGTGAGCATGGCCCCCGCAGTGCCTGTAGAGGCAGAACTGTGTGCTCCAGCTAGTCCAGACACATGACTGAGTTTCCCGGTTGGGTAATCTAGTTGGATAAAACCAACTTTATGCCAGTAAAATAAGCAGTACGGATTATCAACTCTGTTTGCACTAACATGCTATTATAAATGGAGTTCAGCAGATATTTTTGTTTGGGCTTTCTGGTGTGACTTAGCACCAAGGAAGTTAAGAAGCAAGTCTGACTGTTGAAATTTAATATTTTTTGCACAGAAGTAGAATTACAAACTCTGAAAGCACAGAAGGGGAGTGCAATTTGCATGTTCTTTCACAATGAATGAATTATTTATTAACTGGTCATATTAAGCAGTACAAGCAGAATTAATATTCTGTGTGCAGCTGAAGCTGTAAGACAGCAGCATGTTTCCATCAGAACTCTGCTTATTGCTTGCATTTTCTGATAGGGTGATGAATTCTTAGAATGTGTATGGATTATTAAAGTGGCAATATTCCTAATTGTAAAATCTTTAATGCTTCTCCTCAAAAAAACTATTTCACCAAGAGCCTGTGTTTTTTGTTAGAGTAAGGTTAACCTCTTAATGTGAAGATCTTGATTTTTCCAGTCAAAATTTTCCTGGGGACCTTTCAAACACTTGATTTGACTTGGCTAAAGAAAAGGTTAAACTTCCCTGAGTATCTAAATTAAAGGGGCTGGTGGAATGTTCTTTTTTTTCTTTCTTTTTTTGAAAACTATTGCTAAGGAAGAGCATCCCAAAATGGAACGGTAGTGTGTTCATTTTTTCCACCTTTTAATTTCTGTGCAATGATCATGTGAGAAGGACATATGATCCTTCCTTTAATGGAAGCCTTTGTTTAGTTCCTGAGTTCTTGTAGCAATGTTCATCCTTGCTTTGGTGAAGTGAATACAACAAAGGTGGACACACAAAGTATTTGACTTTAGAAACTTACCTGATCCCTGAAAAGGACCTTATAGGGCATTTTCAGAAATCCAGAGAAGTTTGCTTTACTTGATCTAGAAGAAGGCATTCACATTATCAGTGGGAATAACTAGAGGTTCAAGTGCTCCACATCTCCCAAAATCAGGCTTCGTAAGAAGTTTAGGTCTCCCTCTGTGAAAGTAGCTGCTACATTAATCCTTTCTTTCCTCTACCCCAGCTCACTCTACTGTTTTCTTCCAGGATATATTAGAACTAAAAACCACATTTACATTCAAAGGGCAGGAGTACTTTAATTAGAGCAATGGAACTCAAAGTAGCGCTCTCCTTTATATTTTCCACAGGGCAAGAAATATGATTTTTCTTGTAAATGAAATCTTAAAGAGAGATCTGTATGAATTTGATGACATATGGAAACAGCTCAGCAATCCACAGTGGGGTCACAGCCTCAAGGTTAAAAAGTAATTCACTGGTGTGTGAACAAAGATACAAAGAAGGAGAATACTAATTATTTAATACTGATTTTTCTCTTCTCCATTCTCCTTTCTTTTTTCACAGCATTGGAGAGCATGGAAGGATATTATTACAGAGACAGTGTCTCAGTAGAAGAATTTCAAGCTCAGATTAACGCAGCCTCACTAGAAAAAGTCAAGCAGTATAACCAGAAACTACGGTGGGTAATAAACCGACATTCCTGAGATTAGTTTACGAAGTTCTGCTTTTCTGCAGTTTCTATGACACATCTTTAAACTGAAGTGCGTTGTATGGTGGTTGTTTTTTGATTCATGGTTGAGTAAGATCCAAGATTCATGGTTCTGACGTTTTTGATTTCTGCACTGTTAAGTTACTTTTTAAAAAATTGTTTTCCCATGAAGGCTATAGCTGTAATTGCCTCCAGGTTGTTGTACTAATGCACATAGAAAAGGAAATGTCTACTTGATCACAAATGGAGTATCAGAATTGCTAAACATTATGATCTGATTCTGCAGACCATATTTACCTAATTTCTACAGAACAGGACTTGAAAAATAGTGTTGTTTTCCTCAAAGCTGAGCATTTTCCTTGCCGCCCCCCATCATACTAATGGGAATATAAACATATTTGGATACTTGCATCAGCTTCGGGTATGGGTTACAGAGTGCATACTTGCCAGTATATGTAAAGATTCTGCAGCTGTGTATTTCTGTAAATATTTCATTAAGAAGTTGCACATAAAGACAGAATTTCTGGTATACAAAATAACCCATTAGTTATGAAGTAAAATAATGAAGATGTGTACATAGACCACTCTTGCATCTCACTGTATCTGTGAAAAATACCTGTTTGAGTACACTTATTTGCACATGAGTTGACGAAAGAGAGTGCAAAGGACTGCAGTAAAATCACATCTATTCACTTTTAAAATTCTTGAATCAGATGGAAACACTACCATTTCTCTGGAACTGTTAGGCAGCTTTTAAAAGCAGCAGAGAACAGGAGGTAAAAAAAGAAGTTAAGGACAGTGGAGAAAGGGAAAAGGGTCTCTTTTTCCAATTCCTTCACCTGTTGGCACACTCCTGTCTTTGGAAGGTTTTCTTCATGGATCTTGCAAAAGTTTTTCTCTAATGTGTTATCAAAGCAGTGGACTTTCTAGATTCTGTTTTAATCTAAGCAGTACTATAGCAAAAGTGATCTTAAAGCCAGTTGTATTCAGTCAGTACTGTATATTTCATTTTTTTGTGACATCTGTGTCAGTGCACTTCTGTGTTAATGACAAATGTAGTATTTATGTAGTCTGTTTTCCACCTTCTTGTATTAGTACTTCCTATTTGGGAAAAAAAGTTCCTCCTGAGTATTTATTTGACAAGGCTTATGTTATAAATCAGTTTTACAGAAAGCCTTGGTCATGCCAGTATTTGGCCTAGCTGAAGTCAGCTAGTGTTGGAAAGAAATTTCTATCACTTGGACAAGGCAAGACTTTTTGTGCTGTTTTTTTCTATGAATAGGCCCAGTTTAGCCCCCAGGAAAATCCTTAAAAGAAATTCTTCCTGACTTTATGCTCTAGTGTTCCCTGACCTTGCTTACCTCATGTGTTAGGACCTCCATTCATGCTGTGGCTCTAATGAGGCACATTCCTCTTGCCATGTTGTGACTCACAGCTCTGATCAGTTGCTAACCTCCAAGGCCTAGTTTTGCTAGAAGTTACTATGAAAAAGATAGCATTCAACAAAAATTACCGTGGGTAGCTCTGTCCAGTCACAAGAATAAGAAATTTTTTTTTCGAGCCATCTACTGTCTGATGAGAACTTTCAGTAATTGATTTTTTTTCTTGTTTGCTTTCTGGTGAACTCTACCCATTTCTTAAATGAGGCAGAAACAGCTTCAGGAATTCACTGACATAATGTGAAGAAGAAAAACAGAAGAGCAGATGCTTCGTTCTTGTTCTGCCATTTTCTAGCCTGTGTAGGTGTTTGGCCAGGAGAATCTAATAAAGTAACTACAGCAGCAAAAGATATTAACATTTGGATAATTGCTCTAAAGAAGAACAAAAAAGTGAAATTGAATATTCCCTGGAAACATACTCAAGTGCAATAATACTATCTTAAACTCTTCACGTGGAAGAAATCCTCTGTGCAGAACCACCTAATCAGTAATAAAATAAGTCATTCAAGACACAATCCATAAACCATTCTTTCTCCATAGAAAAGGAATGCCTTGCTTGCTTGTGAAATGACCATGTGATGACCATCTTATAATCTCTCCATCGCTACGGCAGCGGAAAGCAAATGGGAACAACAGCAAAGGAGAAAGTAGTGGGAGAAGAAGATGGGGACTAGTGGGAATGAAACTACTGGTTGGCAGTGACACTGCAGCCGAGCCATCCGTTGATGAGAACTCTTGATACAAGTTCAGCTTCTCTTATTCCTAATGCATTTAGATAATAATGCTCTAATAATGTGAAACACATGAGACCACTTTGTTGTGTATGGTCCCACTTACAAACAGAGATGCTGGCCTAACTTGGGATGTACCCAAGCAGGAAAGTAAAATTAAAAATGGGTAGTACCTTTGCTCAGCTACCTCTTAATTTCTTGTGGTAAAGTCTTGTTAAAGTTTGAGTACATAGAACATTTTTGACGAATGTGGTATCTTTTGGGTGACAAATCTGATACTGATGTGTGCCTTAAAGTAATTAATTTACAAATTATTTGTTTGAATGAATCAAAAGATATTTTTAGTGGACTTCAGGAAGGATAACCTTTATCCATCATATAAAGTCAAGACGCTGAATCCTTGCTTTTATTGCAAAATTCATTCATAACTATGGAACTGTGACCAGCTTTTCCACAGTATCAAAAGTGATACAATAAATCAAGGTGCAAAATTGTCCTCCATGACACTTATTTGAGCATCGTAAGAGCTTCTGCCTTTCATGGTTCTTGCTTTGGGGCTTTTGCAAATACTGCCGCAACTATGAAACAGTAATGATAAGATTATCATTTTTATGAGAATGCATGAAAGACAGTTGAAAACTGGTTATAGAATTTCATGCTTATGTGGAATGGAGAAAATGTCCCTCCGTCTTCCGTAATAGACTTAACCCTATTTGAATCTAATTAATAATATAAGGGAACTTTTACTCTAAGGCCAGCTAAAGTTGAGTTTTTCTGCAATTCCTGAGGCAATATCCCCTACCCCAGCAATATGTGGGAAGTCCTTTATCGGAATAAAGATGTTGTTTTTAAGAAAACCAACCAATACCTAGTTTATGAAATTTCTGAAACTGCTAGGAAATCTTCAGCATCTGGCCCACAATTATTCTTAATCGTGCTGGATTTCTTTTTTACAGTCAGCCAGATTGCACTTATTTTTATAGTGCACCAATTTTGTTTTTCTGATACTGTTAAGGAAAAGAAAGTTACGTTCAAATTCTCTTTGCAAGTTGAGCTGGTGCTAGTAGTTGCCAGCAATATAAAATTAACCTCATCAAATTATTTGCTAATGAGAAACATGCAGTACAACCAAGTGAAAGTAATTAGGTCAGCAAAGATTTTAAAGATCTTTATTGCTATGTTTGATAGCTCAGCAGTTGTCTTCTAATTTAGAAGAGGACCAGAAAGAACCTGTGTATCTGACCTGTACAGAGGCTGATGTTAAGTGAGCCCCTTCTGTGTTCTCCTGCCTCCTCCCACTTTTCCCCATCTTCCTCCTTTGCTACTCCTTGCCATTCGATATGCTTTTTCCATCCTGAACCAGTTCGTTTGCTTTAGAGATACCAGAGACCGTTGTGCTTCAAGAATGTAGGGCACAATGGTGTTTGAATCCATAGGAATAACAAAAACTCACAAATGCACTATATTTACTTGGACTGCTTGGTTGGTTTAAGTATTCTCTTGCAAATTTTGAGTCAAGTAATTGTAAAAGCATGAGGGTAAACTTTAATTGTAATTTTCAAACCATTACTGCTTTAAGAATTACTTAGTTAAAATACATTCTGTCCTTTGAATATGATTTTTATATTCGGTAAAAGTCTCTTTCCTGCAGAGTGAGATTCAGTGTGGTAGTTATTATTACATTGCATAGAAATAAATCTTATGGTCATTACTGCAACCAAAAGATTGCAGGCCTGTTGGAAGCTGGGACAGACCCTGACAGACAGGTTAGCTGAATGGCTGTTAACTCAGCCAGTCCTTGGACTGAATAGTGACTTTAAGATAAAACATTTAGTTGGATATGAGAACAATTTTTATCCTCAGAGAAATCAGGTGTTGGATTAGCTTCGTGCAAAAAATAAGCCATTTTTTAAAATGGACCTTGATGAGTGTAGGAATGACAACTTCTGTAATGTTTGTCCAAGTTATCAGAGGTTTGGACTTGATGCCCCAGGATGGGACTTTCAGTCTACAGAAGTAAGGAAGCTTGCTCTTCCAGTCTTCCTTTCTCTGTGAGTATTTGACATTTTATCAGATTAGTCTTTATTTTTTTGTCTGTGAATTCTCTTTCTGGGAAAAAATTGGGTCCCTCCTATGACATTCTATTAAAATGCAATTTTCTATAGGTGCTTCTGGTTAGCTTCTTAATCAGAAAAGTCCAGGCACATCTGCTCTTTAAGAGTTTTTTCCTGGACGTGTCTGTGCACACGAGGGATGTATCTCAAAGGCAGAGAGCATGTTCAGGGCACAGGTCATTCCGTGGGGTGCAGGGCTGTGGTTGTACCAAGTATGCTTCCAGCTTCTGGGTCTCTGCAGTATGCTTCGCTGCATATTGTTGACTGCAAGAGCAAACTATGGTGGAATATAGATGCCTAAAACTGCACATCAATATACCTGTTTGGATTCCAAAACTGTCAATGCAGATCATTTTTATCTGATGAGAAATTAGTGAAATCACTGGCTCTTGGATTCATAATAATTTTTAATGCCTCTTCAGCACCTATGCTTGCATTTAGACATCTAAACACTTTAAAATTTGGTTCCCGATGTTATGGTGACTTGGATTGGGAATATTCAGAAGGAAATAAGCAAAATAATAGATGAACGTGAGGTTAGGAAAAGTTCCTGTAACTTTTCTTTTATCCCCAGCATGGCACTTTCTTGTGACACCCCTGACTATATGATGACCCAGTTCTTCACTCCAAAGATAGGATCGTGCTGTGGGAAAGACAGCTGAGGATTGCTATCCATCCCCGCCACT